GTAGTGAGGCCGCTTCCACCCCAGCTGTGTCACCCTGCAAGGCCAGGTGTTTGGCTCTGAGTTTTTTTTTGTTTTTTTTCCTTATGACTGTTTTCCCTTTTGTGGGTTCTTTCAGATCCATTTGGGACAGGAATGAGTCAGGATTTCTCTGCCAGCAAACAGCCAATGTCACGCAAGCAGCTCCTGGCCTGGCCATCCCAAATACCTCCATCCCTGGGCAGGCAGGGAAACTGAGGCCCAGCGAGGGACAAAGAACACCCGAGGTCACTCAGGGGAAGGTTGCGTGTGGAAGGGTTTCCGGGGAGGCTCAGGGGCCATGCACCTGCCCTCCAGCTTCCATTTCTTTTGTTGGGGGTGTGAGCTTCGTGGGGGGCTTGACTGGGCGTCCCGGTCACCCTGCTGTCCTCAGAACCCTGCACACTGGAGGAGCTTAATCAGGGACTGTGCAATGCATGACCCCAGCAGCTTCTGAAAACACCCCAGAGGTCATCCTCGGACATCAGAAGGAAAGGGGGGCTCTTCATTTGTGTGTGTGTGAGATGGGATCTCATCTGTCACCTAGGCTGGAGTGCAGGGGTACAGTCTCGGCTCACGGCAGCCTCTGCCTCCCAGACTCAAGCAATTCTCCCACCTCAGCCTCCAGAGTAGCTAAAATTCCAGCTGTGCACCACCATGCCTGGCTATGTGTTTTGTATTTTCAGTAGTGAAGGGGTTTTACCATGTTGCCCAGGTCCAGGCTGGTCTCAAACTGCTAGTCTCCAGCGATCCTCTAGCCTTGACCTCCCAAAGTGCTAGGATCACAGGCATGAGCCACTGTGCCCAGCCAACTTATGTTTTCATCATTTTTTTTTAAATGTAATGTTATATTTCTTAATTATGTATTTATTTTATTTTTTTTTTTTTTATTTGAGACGGAGTTTCACTCTTGTTACCCAGGCTGGAGTGCAATGGCGCGATCTCGGCTCACCGCAACCTCCGCCTCCTGGGTTCAGGCAATTCTCCTGCCTCAGCCTCCTGACTAGCTGGGATTACAGGCACGCGCCACCATGCCCAGCTAATTTTTTGTAGTTTTAGTAGAGACGGGGTTTCACCATGTTGACCAGGATGGTCTCGATCTCTTGACCTCGTGATCCACCCGCCTCGGCCTCCCAAAGTGCTGGGATTACAGGCTTGAGCCACCGCGCCCGGCTTGTATTTATTTTAGAGACAGGGTCTCGCTCTGTCACCACCGAGGCTGGAGTGCAGTGGCATGATCACAGCTCACTGCAGTCAAACTCAAGAGGCTCAGGTGATCCTCCTGACAGCCTCCCAAGTACCTGGGACCACAGGGGCATGCCACCACACCGGCTATTTTTGTTTTTTTTTTTTTTTTTTTTTTTTTTGGAGTTTTGCTCTCTCACCCAGCCTGGAATTTTATTTTATCGCAACCTCGGCTCACTGCCTCAGACTCCTGAGTAGCTGGGATCACAGGCACACCCCACCAAGCCCAGCCAGTTTTGTATTTTCAGTAGAGACGGGGTTTCTCCATGTTGGTCAGGCTGGTCTCGGTCTCTTGACCTCGTGATCCACCCGCCTCGGCTTCCCAAAGTGCTGGGATTACAGGTGTGAGCCATCAAGCCCAGCCCCAGCTAATTTTTAAATGCTTTTGTAAAGACTGGGTCTCGCCGTGTTTTCCAGGCTGGTCTCAAACTCCTGGGCTCACGCAACCGTCCTGCCTCAGCCTCCCAAAGTGCTGGGATTACAGTCAGAAGCCACCAAGCCTAGCCCAGGGAAAGAGGTGTCTTTTTCAATAGGACATTTGAGAAAAAAAAATAGAGACATGGAGAGAGACAGAGACTGAGAGGGAGACCAACGGAGAGACCTGGAGGAGAGGCAGGGATAATGAGACCCCAGAGAGAAACAGAGCAACAGAGAGCAGTTGATAAAGACGCCGGTCACGGGGGCTCACACCAGCAATCCCAGCATTTTGGGAGGCTGAGGCAGGAGGATCGCTTGAGCTGGGGAGGTTGAGGCTGCAGTGATCCGTGATTATGCCACCGCATTCCAGCCTGGACCCCGTCTCAATAAAAAGAAAATAACATAAGAGACTGAGACACAGAGAGAGAGAGAAAGGTGGCAAGGTCAGAACGAGCACTAACTTGTATGGGAGCTGGTGAATGAATTACAAAGAAAGGCTCCTTCCTGGGGCCCTCTCACCTCTGCAGCTGGGTCCTCTTGTGCAGTCAACAACCTGCCCCACTGTCTGTGGCAGCCGGAGCAGCGTCTGTCTTGATATCTCGCATTGAATGAATGCTCAGAGTTAAGAGAATGCCAGAGCCCAGCCTGGAGTCGCACAGAAAGAGGAGAGAGAGGCAGGGCGGGTCGGAGGCGGGAACTCCAGGTGTTGGCAGTTTCTGGCTAAACTGCTGAGGTCTTCTCAGGGAACCACCTGGACTCACTTGCCCCCTAGGAGGATTCCCTGGGACCTTCTTGGAGCGCCAACTAGGTGGGCGGCCAAGGCGGGAAGTGGCCCCTCCCGAGGACGCCGCGGGCCCCAGCCAGACGGTGGCTGCCAAGTCTCACCCGAAACTCCTCACGGCCCAGACTTGCTCAGGGTGGAGCCCGGAGTCTGAGAGGCCCTGGCGGGGAGCAGGCGGGCTTCCCCGGGTTTCACAGCCCCGAGCTGGGAGGGGGCTGGCAGGGGTCACCTGGTGTAACAGCTTGTGCAAAGGCCTGGAGGGGACAGGGAGGAAGGTGACGGACGTGATCAGGTCAAAACCGTAGCTGGGGGAAAATGAAGCCCAAGAGAGCTTCAGGGCCAAGTTAGGAAGCTGAAACTCAATCGTGTTTTCAAACGTTTAACCTTTTATTCAGTACACTCTCCAAACAGCATCTCTGCATCTAGTTCCAAGCTGGGTGATCCTGCGGCCCCAACAGTAGCGATGACTCTTGACTGCTCAGAGGAGACACAGACCTCCCAGTTCGGTAGATCCCCGAGTGAGTCACAGGTGAGACTGGAGGCAGCAGAAACCTCGAGGGAAGTAGGCTCTTCTTGAAGGATAAGAAATGGCTGCATGAAGAAGCGGGTATTGAAGCTAGGGCTTTGAAGGATGAATAGGAGCTTGCCAAACAAAGAAGGTGGGACATGCAAACCAAGTGGAGGGACTGTGGCCAGAACTCAGGGACATGTGGATGGAGGAGCAGGAAGAGTCAGGGTGAGCCTTCTCCAGATCCAAACCCAGCAGCCTGTCATTCAAGGCCAAGAAACCCCCCGATAGCTCCCCTTGGCCCTGTTAAGCCCTGTCAGGCCTAGGACTTCCTCAGAGCAGCTCCGACAACTGCAGGCACTGTCATCTCTCCTCCTTGGGTCACAGGGACCATGCACTTTGGTACACGGTGACACTCCGTCAGGGCTGCTTTCCACGGCGTGGCTGTGGGACCCTGGGCTCATGCCTCAGTTTCCCAACCTCGAAAATGGGCTGCAGGAAGCCACTTTTGCAGCTTATGTTTATCTCAGGCCAGGGAGGCCTTCGACAAATGATGCAAAGGAGGAAGAGAAAAATGGAAGATGGGGACGGAGAGGGAAGGAAGGGGGCGGAGGAGGAGAGACGGGCTTGGATGGGAAGGCGGGGGGAGGAGAAGGCTGCGCACCTCCCCCCCCAGGTCATCACCAAGAGACAGGCCCAACATTATTATTTCAGAACACGCCAGCCAGCGCTGTTGAGGCTTAAGAAATGGGTGATGATTTGCATGTAATCTGCATGCAATTTGCATACTGTTTGTTAAATGTCAAAACGCCCTGAAAACGCTTTCTTCCACCTCCACCCCAAGTCGAAAAGCAGGAAACCCTTCCCCACTTCCTCCACCAGCTCCCGGCCTGGGCTGGGGACCCCTCGGTTCAGAGGCTGCTGGGACGCCAGTCCAGAGGGTGGTGACCCTGGGCAAGCCGAACGCCATCTCTGAAATGGGCCATCATCCCGGCCTCTGCCGAGTGAGACGGGGCTCCAAAGAGACGTGCGCAGGTCCCAGCACGGAGCAGGGACCACGGAAGAGAACTGGGGCGATTACTAAATGCCCCGTTTTCTAGCCAAACCCTGATGGAGGCAGGTCCCTGAATAAGCACAGAGGAATGAGTGCCGGAGGGGACCCAGGCTCGAGACAGACGCGTGTGACCCAGCTGTTAGCAGACGCGCAAACCAGGCATGAGCAGGGATCTGGGCTGCCTCCCTGGGCTCTGTGTCCCTGACAACCTCCGGGGCCTCAGTTTACCCTCTGCGGAACGGACAGCAGAAGACTCTGCTCTAGGAGGGGCTCCAGGGAGCTGGGAGTGGGGTGTCTGGGGACAGGGTCCTGGGCTAGGCACCAAGGGCTGAAGGGGGGATAGCAAGACCCCCCTCCAGGCACACCGGGGGGCCAGCAAGACCCAAGTCACTCCGCAGAGCAGCTGGGGTAGTTCTGCCCACTGGAGTGAAGAGGAGCCCCTCTCTCTCTGTCTCCCCTCCATCTCCCCCTCCTCTCCGCCAAGCGGGAGTTGGAGGGGAGATGCCCCCCATTCAGCGGATGCTCTGAGGGGAGGCGAGCCGGAGCCCACCCGGCCGTCCCCGAGCTAAGCAAACGCGCAGTCTGGGCGCAGCTGTCCCAGTGGTGGCGATTACATGTCCACCTGAGCGCGCTCTGAGCCCTGCAGCCAACAGGACTCTTCATTAAAATATTCCTCCTGGCCAGGCGCGGGGGCTCACGCCTGTAATCCCAGCACTTTGGAAGGCCGAGGGGTGGCGGGGGGGACCACAAGGTCAGGTCCTGGCTTACACGGTGAAACCCCGTCTCTACTAAAAATACAAAAAATTAGCTGGGCGTGGTGGCCTGATCCCAGCTAACTGGGAGGCTGAGGCAGGAGAATCGCTGGAGCCCGAGAGGCGGAGGTTGCAGTGAGCCGAGATCGCACCACTGCCCGCCAGCCTGGGCGACAGGGCGAGTCTCCATCTCAAAAAATAATAATAATTTCTTTCTTCCCAGGCTCCAGGTTCCGGCACCTCCGCCCGTGGTGCCTGGATAGGGAACATGGCCCTGGAGGACATACGCAGCCCCTGTGCCCCCTCCCCCAATCCTCTCCCCCACCCCGCTCCCCAGGGGCCGAGCAATGGTGGCATGGCTGCAGGTCACAGGTGCAACCCTGAGGGTCTCCATCCACTTGGAATTCCCACGACACATTCCCGGCAAAGCCCCGAGATGCCCAGTTCGCCACCCCCAGATCCGCCTGCGCTTGGCCGGAGGCCTTCAGACCCCCTCCCCCACCACCCCGAGACCCTTGGCAGACAGCGAGGCATCCGGGTTGAAGGGGAAGGGGAAACCGCCCACGGGGTGGGCACCGGTGCCTGCTGTGGAGGCACTTGGGGTGGAGGTGGGGCGCTGGTGGAGGCCTGAGAAGGAGCTGGGATGACGGCATCTCCCTACTTAGTCACTGGAGAGCTCGGGCAGGACTGGCTGCCCCTCCAGCCAGGGCTGTTCACTGCACGAAGGGCCTGTGAGGACCCCAATGAGGGCTAGGTGCTCTCTGTCTGGGAAGGAGGGAATCCAAGAAGACTTCCTGGAGGAGGCTGCAACCCCAGGTGGATTGGAGCTGCGGAGAAGAGGTTGAAAGTGCTCCAGGCAGGGAGCATGGCTTGGGCAAAGGTGTGGCTGGAAGAATATTGTGGGCAAGAGGGGAAGTGCCTCCGAGTGCTCTTCCTCTGCCCTGTCCTTCTCCTCATGCGATGTCCTCTGGCTGTCCCTGGGAGCCTTCCGCAGTGGCGCAGTGCTTCCCACTGAAGACAGGGCACCCAGGGCCCCAAGAGGGGAGCCAGCGCCTCAAAGTCACGCAGCAGAGCTGAAAGGCTCAAGGCTCCCTCCTGGTAGGCTGGGTAGGAGCAGAAATGTCCTAGGTCCGTAAGGGACTGGGGCTCCGGCAGGAGCGTCTGAAGCAGGGTGCATCAGCTGGTCGGGCCAGGGTTTCACCGTCCTCCTGGGAGCCCAGACCCTGGAACCACAGAAGGGGAGGGATGAACCGTTTCCATCCAGGCCCAGGGAAGGGTGACGCACCGGTTTGCCAGCCAGTTCGCCTTCCCTGTTACCTAACATTCCTGATGTGGACAGTGACACCGCAGCCATCCCTCCGGTGGATGTCCCTGGTATCCTTTAAGAGGAACAGGGGGCCGGGCGCGGTGGCTCAAGCCTGTAATCCCAGCACTTTGGGAGGCCGAGGCGGGTGGATCACGAGGTCAAGAGATCGAGACCATCCTGGTCAACAAGGTGAAACCCCGTCTCTACTAAAAATACAAAAATTAGCTGGGCATGATGGTGCATGCCTGTAATCCCAGCTATTGAGGAGGCTGAGGCCGGAGAATTGCCTGAACCCAGGAGGCGGAGGTTGCGGTGAGCCGAGATCGCGCCATTGCACTCCAGCCTGGGCAACATCAGCAAAACTCCGTCTCACAAAAAAAAAAAAAAAAAAAAAAAGAGGAACAGGGATGGCCCCTATTAAACTTGGCTGTTTTCTGCCACCTGATGGCAGTCACAGGAATTGCAGGCAAAGAGCACCGCGAAACCAAACCGAAGCTCAATCCTTCATTGTAGGGAGACAGGTAACAGGGCCTAGAGAGGAGAAGCAATTTTTCCAAGGTCACTCGGCAAGTCAGGGGCAACACGGCTCTGGTCCGCGTTAGTCCAAAGAGAAGTGAGAGACACCAAGCCCGTGTCCCTACCCTAGGGGCCGAAGCATAGGTGTATGGACGGGGGTGATGGTCAATAACATCTGGTCCCTTCTCCTCTCTGGGCCTCAGTTTCCCCATCTATGGTCTCCACAATCTCTAAGGTCCTTTCTCTGTCTCAACTACTAGAATGACTTACCTGGAGTGAGATCTAGGCTCCCAGGAGGCAGAAGACGTACCTTCCAAAAGTGCCCCCTACCCCAGCATATTCCTCCCGCCAGTACCTGGGTCCCCTCGGTCATGGCTCTGCCTCCTCCAAGCCAGGCTACCTGAAAGAGGGAGACAGAAAGACCCAGGTTCAGGAAAAACACAGCCCTTGCCTTGGCATTCAAGGCTTCCCTGTTCTGCCCACTGTCTGGCTGGTGCCTTTCCCGTAGCAGCCAGGGCTCACCTCCAACCCAGAGATTCCCTCCCCTGCATCCAGGCACTGCTAGAGCTCCAGAAAAATATCCTGAGCAGCCCACTCCTTCCCTCCAGAGACAACATATCCCGCTAATATTTACTGAGCACCTACTACGTGCCAGGCACTGAACTGGGAATCCAGCAGTGAACAAGATGGACGGCAGTGCCCTCATGGAGTCTACAGCCTACTGCAGGAGACAGGTGACAAAAATAAGTAAAATGTAGAGAAGTCAGATGCCGACAAGCAATGGGGAGAGAGAGAAAGCAGCGATGGGGTGGAATGCAATTTTATTATTATTATTATTATTATTTATTTTTTGACATGGAGTCTCCCTCTGTCACCCAGGCTGGAGTGCAGTGGCACAGTCTTGGCTCACTGCAACCTCTGCCTCCTGGGTTCAAGAGATTCTCCCGCCTCAGCCTCCTGAGTAATTGGGATTACAGGCGCCCACCACCACGCCCGGCCAATTTTTGTATTTTTAGTAGAGACAGGGTTTCACCATGTTGGCCACGCTGGTCTCGAACTCCTGACCTCATGATCCACCTGCCTTGGACTCCCAAAGTGTTGGGATTACAGATGTGAGCCACTGCACCTGGCTATTTATTTATTTATTAAGAGAAGGAGTTTCACTCTGTCGCCCAGGCTGGAGTGTAATGGTGGGATCTCGGCTCCCTACAACCTCCACCTCCCAGGTTCAAGCAATTCTCCTGCCTCAGACTCCCGAGTAGCTGGGAGTACAGGCATGCACCACCACACCCGGCTTATTTTTGTATTTTTAGTAGAGACGGGGTTTCACCATGTTGGCCAGGCTGGTCTCAAGCTCCTGACCTCGTGATCCACCTGCCTCGGCCTCCCAAAGTGCTGGGATTATGGGTGTGAGCCACCGCGCCTGGCTGGAATGCAGTTTTAAACAGGGATGGTCAGGGAGGGCTGCAGGGAGACAGGGAGGTGGGAACATGAGGGAACAGCATTGCAGGCTGAAGCAACAGCCTTTGCAGAGGCCCGGAGGCAATGAGGAGGCCTGTGTGGCTTGAGCAGAGTGAGCAAGGGGGAGACAGGGAGGAGGGGACAGCAGGGAGGGAATCCGGCAGCTCATCCAGGGTCTTGCAAGCATGGGGAAGGGCTTGGGCCTCGACCCTGATGGAGGCAGGAGCCACAGAGGGCTGCCGGCAGAGGAAGGAGGGGCCCTGACTCAGGGGCTCCCAGGCGCCCTCTGGTACCTGCTAGTGGGAGCACAGACTTGTAGGGGACAAGGGCAGGAGCCTCGGACCTGGGTGGGGGTGACTGGGCTGGTCTGGGGGTTGAGAAGTGGGTGGATTCTGGTTAGACTTTGAAGGCGGAGCTGATGGAAGCAGCCAAAGAACAAATATAGGGACTTGGGAGGAAGAGAGGAGCAGACGGATGCCAGTGAAACCCTAATAACACGTGTTCCCGCTGAGGAAGCAGGAGGGGTCCTGATGAAGGGCGGGGCTCGAAAGCTGGGATTCAGCCAGGCTCTGCCCCTCCCAGCTAAACCTTGCTCTGCCTGAGTTCTTCCACCTGCGAACGGCCAATGACAACAGCACCCAGCCGGGCGGGGGGGCTCACGCCTGCAATCCCAGCACTTTGGGAGGCCGAGGCAGGCAGATTGCCTCAGGTCAGGAGTTCGAGACCAGCCTGGCCAACACGGTGAAACCCCGTCTCTACTAAAAATATAAAAAATTAGCCGGGCGTGGTGGCAGGCACCGGTAATCCCAGCTACTCAGGAGGCTGAGGCAGGAGAATCCCTTGAACCCGGGAGGCGGAGGCTGTGGTGAGCCGAGATGGCGCCACTGCACTCCAGCCTGGGTGACAGAGTGAGACTCCGTTTCAAAAAAAAAAAAAAAAGCCCTTAGCATCTCATAGGGTCTCAAACATGGCCTGCTGGCTCCTGTGACAACCATCTCCCTGCAACGCTGCTGCCTTGAGGCAGAAAATGTTGTCACGACTGCATTTCACAGCGTGGAGAAACAGGAGCTAGGAGAAGAGGTGGCTGCATCTACCCGGAAGTGAGGGGGTACTGTCTGGGCCAACAGGTCTGATGTGTTTTTCTCATTTCTCAGATGGGGAAACTGAGGACTCCCCGGCTGGTGCCGCGCCACTGGCCAGTAGCCCCTGCTCTGCCTCTGCAGGTATGGGACGGGTCAGAACCCATTTGATGCCCAGAGAGGGTGGGTTGGCTGCCTCGGGACACACAGCCAGTGAACAGCAAAGGCAGATAGGGGCCCCTGTCTGTTGGGGAAGACAGAACTGGACTCTGCCACTGACCCCAGCTGTGTGTGTGGCCAGGGGTGGGGCCAAGGGCAGGGCACTGGGTGGGGTGGCAGCCCAGAGGAGGTTGAAACTGGTTTTTTTTTTTTTTTTTTTTTTGTTTTTTTTGTGACAGGGCCTCACTCTGCTGCCCAGGCTGGAGTGCAGTGGTGTGATCTCGGCTCACTGCAACCTCCACCTCCCAGGTTCACGCGATTCTCCTGCCTCAGCCTCCCGAGTAGCTGGGACTACAGGTGCACGCCACCACGCCCGGCCAATTTTTGTTTTTTTAGTAGAATGGGTTTTCGCCATGTTGGCCAGGCTGGTCTCGAACTCCTGACCTCAGGTGATCCACCCAGCTCAGCCTCCCACAGTGCTGGGATGACAGGCGTGAGCCACCGCGCCCGGCCAAGACTGTCTCCTCTGAAGGCTCCTCTGCCTCCAGCGCGGTCCCTGGGACCTGCACCCTGGTCTGTCTCCAGCCCTCCCCCACCACAGTCTGTTCTCCCTGCTGCAGCCAGGGGGCGCCTGTGAGCACCGAGTCAGGTTCCATCCCTCCCTGCCCACAGCCCTCCATGGCTCCCACCTCCCTCGGGGTCAAAGCCCAACTCCTCCCTGCAGTCCACAAGGCGCTGCCTGAACGGCCCCGTCTCCCTGCCCTCCCCTCCTCCCTCTCTCCCCCTCGCTCACTCTGCTCCAGCCACACAGGGCTCCTCGCTGTTCCTCCAACAAGCCAGGTGTGGTCCTGCCTCAGGGCCTTTGCACAGGCTCTTCCACTGCCTGGAAGGCCCTTCCCTGACTGTTTAACCACCTCCTTCACATCACAGCCTGAAATGACACCTTTCCGGCGAGGCGTGCCCCGGCCACTGACCCCCTCCACCTTCCCCGCGTCCCCCACGCGCTGCTCTGAGCTGACATTCTCCCATGCTTTCATTTGGACCTTGTCCCACAGGACTGCAGGCTCTGAGAAGGCGCGATCCGGTCTCATGGGGTCAGCGCTGAATTTCAGTGCCCAGCGTGGAGTCTGGCACACAGTAGGCGCACAATAAATGCTGACTCTGTACTGCATTACAGTCTAGACGTCTGAGGGTCATCCAGCCCCCGGACCTCACAGAAAGAACACCCTCTCCCAGCCCCAAGCTCCGAACCTCCATCCCTCATCATCCTCCCAGCCTCCTCCTGCCCTCAGATCGTCCCTCAAGAGGGGGCCTCTCCCGCCCCCACTCCAGCCCAGCCTCCTGCAACAGGATGGCGTCTGAGGCCCCTGCCCTCAAAACGTCAACCCAGGCTTGGTGACTTAAGCCTCTAGAGGATCGGTGAGTGTGACCCCCATAAAATCCAGGGTAATGCACATGGCCCCCATCCCTCTCCTGCTCGACGCTCCCAAGGGGGCAGTCCCAGGCTCTGCCATCATCACCACATCACGGCCACCCCCGACCCGTTTCCCAGAGCTGCCCCAGGCCTCCAGTGAGCCGTTCCCGTGGCCCCAGAGCCCTGCTCTGCACATCCCTCCTTGGACCAGAAGACGCCTCTCTTGAGGGTCACCGTGGCCAGGGGACCTCTTTGGGGACCCAGATATCCAAGTCTGAGTGTGGGCAGCAGACATTAGGGTGGGGCTGTGTGAAAGATGAGGGGGCAGGGGAGACCAGAGAAGGAAGACAGAGACATGGCCTCAGGGAGACAGCGAAAACCAGCAGAGACAAATGCACAGAGACACCCAGAGAGACAGAGAGACAGAGACACAGACAGAAAAACAGCAGAGACAAATGCACAGAGACACCCAGAAAGACAGAGACAGAGACACAGAGAGAAAAACAGCAGAGACAAATGCACAGAGACACCCAGAAAGAGAGACAGAGAGACAGAGACACAGAGACAGAAAAACAGCAGAGACAAGTGCACAGAGACACCCAGAAAGACAGAGACAGAGACACAGAGAGAAAAACAGCAGAGACAAGTGCACAGAGACACCCAGAGAGACAGAGACAGAGACACAGAGACAGAGAGAAAAACAGCAGAGACAAGTGTGCAGAGACACCAAGAGAGAAAGAGAGACAGAGACACAGAGACAGAAAAACAGCAGAGACAAGTGCACAGAGACACCCAAAAAGACAAGAGACAGAGACCCAGAGACAGAGACAGACACACATATTGAGACACACAGAGAGAAAAGGAGCAGAGATCAAAATGACAGAGACAGAGACACAGAGAGACACAGCGGGAAGAGACGGAAATGGGCAGAGACACGCAGAGAAACAGAGACCAAAGAGACACACAGAGAGAAAAACAGCAGAGACAGAAACGGACAGACACGCAGTGAGAAGCAAGCAGAAACCGAAATGGGCAGAGACACAGAGACAAGAGAGACTCACAGAGACACAGAAAGAGATGCAGGCACACACAGAGAGAAAGGGACAGGGACACAGAGACAGAGACAAAAGAGAGAGACACAGAGAGAGAAAACAGCAGAGACAGACCGATGGACAGAGACACGGAGAAAAACAGAGATGAAAATGTGCAGAGACAAAAGAGGCACACGCAGAGAAAGCAAAACAGCAGAGAGACGAGCGAGACAGAGGAGGAGAGACAGATACACACAGAGGAGAAAAGCAGAGACCAAAACGGGAGGGAGACAGAGACGAGGGAGAGACAGGGAGGAACACGGCAGAGACAGAAGCGGCCAGAGACACAGAGACAATGACAGGCGACCGATTCATCAGGGACAGGGACAGAGACGGAGCTGGAGAGAGACACACAGAGAGGAAAAACACAGACACCAAATGGGCAGAGACAGAGACAGAGACAAGAGAGACAGAGAGGAGACAAAGGTGAGAGACACAGAAACAAAAGAGACAGAGACAAGAGACAGAAACAAGAGATGAGAGAGAAAAAGATGAGAGAGAGAGATAAAAGAGATAAAAAAGGAGAGACAGGCAAAAAGAAGAGGGAGAGAGATGAGAGAGACAGAGACCAGCGAGCAACGAGGACGAGACACAGGGACAGAAACGCGAGAGAGACGGGGAGAAAAACAGCAGAGACAGAGAGCCCGGAAGCGACACTGGCAGGGTCGGGTCGGGAGAGAGGCCGAGCGGGCAGCGCGAGGAGGGAAAGCGGCGCGCGCCCGGGAGGCCGCGGCGGGCACCAGCCTCCCCCGCCGCTCTCCGTGGGGGGTCCCCGGCCGCCGCCCCGCACCCGGGCCCCGCGGCCACCTGGGGTCGCTGACGAGCAGCAGCACCGAGCCGTCCTGCAGGCGCGCGTCGCGCACCGTCTGGTGGTCGTCCAGCCGCCGCGCGTTGTAGTAGAAGGCGCGCTTCCAGGAGCTCACGCCCTGGCCCACCAGCTGGGCGCGCAGGTCGCTGAGCGTGTCCCGCGGCCGCACGGTCAGCGGCAGCAGCAGCGCCTCGTCCGCCAGGTGCACCTTGATGTGGTAGCGCTTCCAGCGCGACAGCCCCCGCCGCAGCCCCTCCATG